ATACTTTTTATTTGAGGGCGCCTTTCTAAAACATAAGGTCCCCTTACAAAGAGAAAAAGATATAAATAAAAAGTAGATTAAAATAGATTCTAATAAATGAAGCAAGTGGCAAGTAAAATCTGCATTAAAGCGAGTAAGCCAGACTCTGGGACTCCCCACCATTTGACCTTAGAACTGAAGAAGCTTCTCGGATGAGAGGTGAAACGTCTTCAAGCAACTCAGAGAAGTCCAGACGCTTTTCTTTGCAAGCTCCTTAGAAAGCAGAAAATCTACTCATAGTTAGAAGCTCCTACAGAGTTAAGTTGTTGGTGGATATCAGCGATTTTTATGAGTGAAAAAAGATATGAGTTTCAAAAGTCAGCAGAGTCCCTATGAGAGGGGAAAGAGTCTGGAGGTTTTGTAATTTTACTAAAAGATGAAAAGAGAGAACTGGAGTTACTTTCACTAGACCTGATTAAACCAGAATATGCAGATTTGGCTGAAGCAAAGCAGTCCTTATAAAACAAGATATGATCATTATACGTTTGTTTGTGTATGGTAAGTCCAGTTGGCATTCTTTAGCTTTAAGATGGAGCAGGTTTAGAGTAAACCATGGTGCTGAGTGGAAAAATTAGACAGTTCAGTGTTTAAAGGGAGCAAATATTCATATTTATCAGGAAATGAGGAGCTGTGAATAAATGAAAGGTCATAAATGGCAGATGAAAGATCAGCAGGGTTAATATTACTAATTTTGCTAAATGTGATGTCATGGGGAGTACAGGATTTGGAGGCTGTTGTATTTACAGAAAGTTACTGTAATCACATGTTTATTTCAGTTACAGAAATAAACATATGAGCAATTGTGGTGTAAAGTTCAAAATAAATGTGTTGTTTTTCTTCAGAAAAACATCGGCTCTTTTTAATAAATGTTTATTTCCCAAGGACTTTCTAAAAGATCCGAACAGTCGACAGATTTGGTATTTAACGCTAAATCAGAGTTAACGTACTAACTCTCCAAAAAGAGTTAAATTAACACTCTCTGGAGTGGACTCGTATAGACACTTTAAACTAAGACTGTAGACAGTCACTGATCACCACATGTAGAGTATTTGTCAGTTATGTGCAGACCCTTTAAATTTCAGCCTGAAAAAGAACATCACAAAGTCCAGCTTCAAAATAAAACTGAGGACCACCTCAACACCAACAACTCCAGGCAGGCGTGTGTGATATTTAGTTAGTGATGTTCACTAACTGACAAACACAGACCCAAAGTGGTGCTGCAGCTGCACCAGAAGGAGCTACATCCCATCCACCACCAAACATCAACCACATCTTCACGGGGGTTTGACCTGGTGTTTTTCAGTTCAAATTTTTATTAAATATTCCCAAACATTTAGTTTGGTTTTTATGAACTATTTTAGAGCTTTTGTTTTATTTCTTTTGTGTGCTGATTTTTGTTATTTGTGGTAATGTTGAGTTAATTTTGCTGTGTCCTCCGTTTCCATGTTAGGTGTCCTGTTGTTTGTATCTGCCTCGTTTGCACCATCTGGTCATAATGTCTTTAGCAGATGTCTTTGGCGACTGCAAATACTTTGGAATTTTATATTCCTTCTAAAAAGATAAATCCATCCATTCTTTTTTACTTATCAGGGTCACTGGAGCCTATCACAGCTGCCATAGGGCGAGAGGCAGGTCACCAGTCTGCGTCTCTCTAACATAGAGAGACAGACAACCATTTGCACTCACATCCACACCTATGGACAATTTAGACTCACCAATTAACCTAACCTGACTAACTGCAAGTCTCTACACAGAAAGGCTAGATAGTGGAGTTGTTTGAATTATTTGCATATCAGGGCCCGGTGGCGCCAGTGTCCGGCAGCCTCGCCTCTGTCAGTGCGCCCCAGGATGGCTGTGGCTACAATGTAGCTGCCATCACCAGTGTGTGAATGTGTGGATGACTGGATGTGTAAAGCGCTTTGGGGTCCTTAGGGACTAGTTAAGCACTATATAAATACAGGCCATTTACCATTTACCATTTATCAGTGTAGATATCTAGCATGATTTCGTCCTATTTAGATCTGATCTGTTCCTTTAAGTTTTTAAGCTGTATATTAGTACAACTGAAAACCACGGTGACTGGCTTGGTCACTGAAGAATTAATCAAATCAGAAAACTTAGAATTCATCTTGCTGGATCGATCACAGTCACATCATCAGTTAACAGTAGTGACCCAGTTTTTACAAAGCCCTGCAATAATACTGGCTCCACTTTGACAGATGATGTGGTGTGCTTCAGATCATAAGTCATTTCTCTCCTTCATACTTTTCTCTTCCCATCATCAGTGGCGGTCCTAGCCTGTTTGGCGCCCTGGGCGAACACCCCCTCTGGCGACACCCCCCCCCAACACACACATAAAACATATTAAGGATTGTACATTAACACAAAACTGTTGTTGGAACCATACTGAATTTCACCAGAGAAACACACACGCATGAAGAGAGAGAGAGTATGCATAGTATGCAAAAAGCTGCCAAACAGCCATCATAATTTCTTATACAATGAGAACAGTGAGAACAGGACAAATCAACAATTGACAATGACTAATTAATATTAAACTCTATAACATAATGTATTGTTTGGAGTTTAGTCTGTTACTGTTACTATTTTTACCATTTCTTCTTGGAGCAACTGTAACGCACATAATTTCCTTAGGGATTAATAAAGTAATCTGACTCTGATTGTTTCAGGATGAGCTGCCATTATCCAATGACACATCTGCTTACCTGCATCTTTTGCTCGTTTCTCCTCCTCTTCTTTTCTATTTTTTCTAAACTGAGCACCTGATGACTTTGAGCTTGTCTTGTCCATCTTCCATTGGTTTTAATTTTGCACTCCAGTATGAACACAAGTCCCCCAACTCGAGGATCACCCCAACATAACCTAACACACCTACACCTTAGTTCACAGATTTACTTTGTCTAAGGTGTATTTCTGGAATTTCACGCAACCCAGGATTCAAATCATGAATACATAATGTGCTTGGATTTACATCATTATGAATGAAATGCGCTCTATTTGGAAGCAGCAGGGCCCCTCCCCTTTTGACGGGTTATGTGTGTGTGACACTTTAAGTCATCAAACTGTAAATTATAAATTTTAAATTGTTATTGATCCTTTACCCCGACTCCTAAACATTTATTTTCTTTCTCTTCTTATATTTATTGTTTGTTTTACAGCAGTGCAAGTGGCACGGTGGTTAGCACTGTTGCCGCACAGCAAGAAGGTCCTGAGTTCAATTCCAACACCAGGCCGGGGTCTTTCTGTGTGGAGTTTGCATGTTCTCCCCGTGTTTGCGTGGGTTCTCTCCGGGTACTCCGGCTTCCTCCCA